ATGTACAGGTTAGTGAGCTTATAAAAACATTTTGGTAAATCTAGATTTAAAAAGGGTTTTTGATTTAGTTTTGGAGGAGAAAGACAATTTGCTTTGTTAACAAGTGGGGTTTTTAGTGTAAAAACATTCCAAACTCCACCACGCGCTGTGGACTGGATGTGGATACTGGAAGTCGAACTGTTTACCCGAGGCAAAAGAGACAGCAATAGCCGAGAGAGGGCTCCAACAGAAGAAGCACTCTCTCGGATTGTGTCCACAATCCACAAAATGACGTCGGCATTTGCGGCGGCGTGTTGCACTTGTTCGCTCCTCTTCATCCTCCACATGCTTGTGGTTGTTGTTGGCCGCTGATAACAAACAGCTGATAACCACAAGATAAACCGCAGCTGGGGGAGGCGTTTCGAAAACCAGAAAACAGATAACCAACTGTTGCATGCCCCACATTTTTGGTGTTATACATCAAACGGTATACCGCTAGACAATGGATGCTACTTACCGCTCTTTGTTTGCTTTCTAGGTATGTGTATATATTTGCATATTTAATTAATCCCACTGAAGTGTATATCCCAATTCAAGTGTTTTTATATTGATTTGAAAACGATCATTAGCCAACAGGGCTTGCAACACTTTCTAACCTATAACCTATATACACCTATAACCTATATACATATATATATTAAAATTTCCTTAACGTATAAATTAACCTAAAAATTGGGATGTGAAAACCTATTAAAAATTACTGAGATTATGTTTTACTAAACTTACCTTAGTGGTTCTGTCAGCAGGTCTATATTTTCGCAGCTTTCCATCTCTAGTCGCTGATATTGCAGCTGCCTAGCGCTCGAAGTGCTCAATCTGCCCCCTGAAACTCCCAAAACTGTGGCCGAGTTCGACGAGTGGCGACGATACTCGGCGAAACTCTCGCTCTTCCGGAGACCCGGAATTTTTCCGGAACTATTGCGCCAATACTTGATCATCCGGTGAAGGGCCTTGGGCGAACTCGTTGCCGACGTTATTTCACGTCCACCCACGAGAATCGGTTGGCCATGATCAACCAATGTCCTGTAGGAACTCATTCTATAAGCTAAAAACAATTCAAAGTCAATATATTTCTAATCAGTACCAGTTTTTATAATACTTACGTAAGATAAAATTTATTTTTAGTACTGCGCCTTTAAGTTACAAGTTTAAATGATCCATTCAACGAATAGTGTTTTGTATGTAAATTATAATTTTGGCTTACTTTAATCTATATTATTTTATAAATTTTTTGAATTTTTTATTTTTTAGAATGTGTTATATTTGTAATTGATAATATTTACTCATAACATATTATACACATAATAAATATGTATTCACTTGTTATTATCATTTGTTTCATGATTACAATAAATCTATTTTTTATAAATTTGTAGGTCAAAATAGCATAATAAAATTTTAACTCATTACTCATTTAACAATAATCATTTTTTTAATTATCTTTCTATAATTTTTTTTGCATAATTAAAAATTTATTTAAATCGCGTTTCGTTTGGGGTTCGTTTTGAAGTCGCGTCGCGCCGCCTTCGATTTTCCGACTGACCGCAACAAAGAATCAGAACAGAGCCCCCAGAACAGACCTCCATAGAACCGAGCTCTACATTATCTGGCGCATTCTCCCTCGCTCTTTTTTGCTCTCCCTCTCTTTTTGCTTTCCATTGTTTTAATAACTTCGCACGTTTTATTGCAATTTTTTTCTGAATTCACTTATATTTCTTGCAATTGCATTATTTTAATTATACCCGGTACTTGGGAAAACTTGGAGCATATAAAGTTGGGTATCGTTCTTAAAACTAAACAAAAATTTAATTTGAAATAGTGAAGATTGTCTTATTTCAAGTTTCGGGAGAGTAAAAAAATTCCCTTTCAATTTTTAAGCAAATGCAATATTCTTGGTTTTATTTTAACTTAAATTTAACAAATATATATGTTGTGTGTGGGCTGTCCTTTGTCATTTATATATATTTCTTAAAAAAGGAATACATTTCACTCTGAAGCATGAATAGGTATCGTACAGTTCTCAAACTCTAACTAATCGTTCTCACTTGTTTCGTTTTTCATTTCAGTTTTATTTTTCTGACGATAAATGACCGAGCTGTGATTCCGCTAAGTCAGCTCTTTTTCATTTTATTGCTGTCAATATACGAATTAAGTGTAATCCGTACGTACACAATCGCATTTATTTATTTTTATTAACCATTTCCAGCTATCGGTTATCTTAGGTTTTTTTTTATCCGCCCCTTTAAACACGCCCCATGAATAGAAGACATTGTCTAGTTCAATGCTCCAATCAATCACTGCGAAGACTTTAGTTAATCAATTAAACCATCCATCAACCTTTTTTATCTCCTCGTACTCTTTCAGGTGCTGGAAAATTTAAATGCCCATCTTAAGAACCGATTTCATGCTGATTTTCCCAGTCCCTCTGCCACTTGCAATCGAAAAACAAGTGGATGTAAAACTGGGAATTTAAATGTATCATCAATGCATCAATGAGTCAAGCTGGGGTTTCGATTCTGCGGGTCACCGCCGAGAACTTTAATGGCTCTCAAAAAGAGGGTGATAAGGAAACAGACTTCGGGGCGTCGCAATATGGATTTAAATGTCGAATGGGGAATGGAAGCAGGCAGAAGGGAGTGGATAGAGATAGTGGGGGAAAGCGGTTCAACAACTGCTAAATGCAGCAGCAATCGAGTTATCGGGTAATCGAATATCCAGCAAATCAGATAAATCAAAACATGCAAAACAAATCGCATGATAAGAGAGCTGGAAAGCAGAAAATTAAAAAAAGATACCAACTTTCTGGATTAGCTGACTTTGTGATACACTTCTTATTAAATATGTTAATAAAATGTATATATTTTATAACGAACCACTTCAAGAAGAATCATTGCCTACAACTTACAACTTATAAGTTTATTCTATTCATTTTTGGCATAGATTTTTTATAATGGAAATCCAACTCAGTTTTCATTTCAATTCAAAGACTTTTTCATATATGTTTATATCAAAGTGTACAAACTAAAATATTTCCCACTTGAAATGATCTCTTAATTACAAAACTAACAAATCAGGTATAAATTGAAATCGTAAACCCAAATCGAAATCGAATTCGCAGTTGCTACTGTAATAGTTTCGGCCACGCGAAAGCCGAGTAAGATTTATCATGACATTTCCTTGATGACGATACTGAGTCGCAACCTCCCCCCAATATTTACCCCCCAGTACCACTTTCCCCTGACCATTCAAACTTCGTGTGTGCGTTGTCAAAATTACATTAAAGCGGAAATCGCCTGCTTCGCTTCAGTGCCAATCGACAGAAGACAGCCAACTGACCACAGAGTAGAAAAAAAACTCAAACTGCACTGCCTGCAGTCTCAGATGACTACACTAAAAATAAATTCTCAAAGATCTTATCGATCATTTGTGATTTTAAAACTGTCTAAGTCCCTAAAACTCAAATTTTGATCACAAAACAATTAAAAGAAAAGGAATTATTTTGAACTTATGAATCATTTTTTAAATACATTTCTTTTGATAAAAAAAATTAAAATGTATATATTTAGAATATATATTTTTTTAAATGTGTGAATAGGTCAAACGATTATAAGCAGACAATTTGTTTCAAATAATTTTGGAATGCCCAATATTTAAGATATAGTTACGTAAGGGGAACACAAAACTATTTTATGGGATGTTTAATTCAAAACATTTAAAAACATATTTATCTACTAGAAATCTATTTTTCTGTATATCTGAGGAGGGAGGAGGGGACTGTGGGTGCGGACACGCAACACCCGCGACACTCGACGACATAAATCAGACTCAGAGGGAAACCAAGTGAAAGAGTTGGGGGCGACCGTAAGGCGAGACACTTTTTGTTTTGGCCGTTTTTTGAGGGGTTTGAGGCAAACATGTCCGAACTGTCGCTTGTCTGCCCCTCTTTATCCGACCCCCTGCCACCACCCAATTTTCAGCATCCCGTCCTCCTCCTCCGGTTAGAGAAATGTGCGTAACTGAGAGAAACGTAACACAGGCAGCAGCACAGCACGCAAGACTTGGATCTACACCGAGAAAAAAAGTCCTAGAAAGTATTGTTTCATACAAAATTTGCTCAATACAAAATATTGACCTTACCCAAGTTTTCTTCACCTAGAAAGCTAAAAAACTATTATTTAATTGTTTTTATAATTCTCTCAAAAGTAATTTTTGTAAGAGTATGGTCTTTAAAGGTTTAAAAGGGTTATAAAAGTTCGAAACTTTTTCAACAATTTTTTAATTTTAAGAATACAACATTTTTTATTAGTTAGTTAGTTATTATTGAATATTTAAAATGATACATCGTATGATGACACAGAAATGATGAAAATTACTTAAAGCATTAAAAAATTTCGTATGTTTGGATATCAATTAATATTCTTGTATTTTTCAGATGGCTTTCAATATTAAATTTGAACAGTGCAAGTCGGAGCCGTCGCTGACGTTAAAATTGGAGAAGTCGTCTCAAACTCAAACTCAGTCGAGGACTGAGACTAGCGAACATATATCATTCCATGGACATGAGACACGAGACTGCGGCTTTAATTGACATGTGTTCATTAGAAGCGACAGAGGGAACGGGTTTGGGGAGGATTATTCAGAGGAAGTGGTTGTATTTATTGGAGCTCTTATTGGGGTTCAAGCTGCTAAAAGTGTATTGTAACAATCTTTTAATTTTTGGCTTTGTTTTATTTTATTTTTTTTACCAAATTTGTATGTATTTTTTTAAAGCCTATCTCAAATTGACATTCTTAATTTCATTATACTGCCATCCTGATTATTTTCGGAAAGGATCAACGTGTAAGTACAAAACCGCAAGCCATTTTTATTGGATTTATTATTTGGATTTAATTTATTGATTTCTTTATTAATCAAAACAAATATATTTTTTCTTTAGCTTTATGTTGCCAAATAATAACCTCTGAAAGGGTGTTCAAATTTCATAAATAAAATTTTTTTTTTTGCTGATTTCCGTGTCAAATCAGCGTTATTAATTTCATTAGCTTGCAGTCCATTTTCTATCGGCCTGCAATATCTGGTAAGTCTGAGGCCACATTTCAAATGAAATACTTAAGTAAGTGGGCTATTGTAGTCGCATTTGCCATCAAAAACAATTTAGTACCTTTTCCACAGGTCTGATTTTGTTGGCTACATCAGTGTCTTGTCGGTTCAGTGAGGATTTTTACGGAATTTTAGCCAAGGAGAATGCTAAAAAGAACATCATAAGTTCTCCACTCTCTGTCGAGATCATTATGAGCGTGGTATACATGGCAGCAGGTGGAAGAACGTCACAAGAACTAAGGAAAAGTTTAAGACTACCCGTGGATAAAAAGGATGTGGCCAGAAAATATAAGGAGTTTTTTGCCAATATTCAAGGTCGTGAGAAAGAAGTCATACTCGATATGGCGAACCGCATTTACATGAATCGAAAATATCGTCTCGTGCCGGAGTTTAATCTGTTAGTACGAGAGTCCTTTAAGGCCGATGCCAAGGCGATTAGTGTGGATGATCCAGGTGGAGCGGCTTCGGTTGTCAATAATTGGGTATCCAACCAGACGCGGGGCAAGATCCAACATATAGTTTCATCTTCGGATATGAATTCTGATCTAAGCGCAATTCTCGTAAATGCAATTTACTTTAAAGGAATATGGAAGCATGAGTTCAATGCTGACCAAACACATACAGCCGAATTTCATGTGTCTACTGAAGAAAGTGTTCCCGTCCAATTGATGAGTTTATCTGGATCATTTCGGGCTGCCTTTTTACATAATTTGGATGCCAAGGTAATTGAACTACCTTACCGGAACTCCAGCCTGTCGATGCGCATCTTTTTGCCCAACAGAATTGATGGCCTATCCAAATTGGAAGAACAAATTGCAGGTTTCTCCATAACTCTGCGAAAAAGCACTGTAAATATAAAGCTGCCAAAGTTCAAAATCAAATTCGGCACACAACTGAAGGCGATTCTTCAGAAGGTAAGTATCTTGTTGAGTATCTTAAAGGATCCTTAATTTATTAGTACTTACAGTTAGGCATCCGAGAGGTTTTTAAGCCTTCGGCGAACTTGAAAGGCTTAGTGATGGGATCTGATGTCAAGATCGACAAAGTCGTGCAAAAGGCATATTTAAAGGTCGATGAAAAGGGTTCGAAGGCAGCAGCTTCAACAGGTATGAAGTTATCATCTCGCCTATTCTGCACCTTTAGAATTTTGTTTATTTCCAGGGGTACTTATTCGTAGAAAAAAGTCGGTTGGTCTTCCTCAACAGCTTCCCATGGAGTTTATTGCCGATCATCCTTTTGTCTACGTTATATGTGATCAAAATACTATTTACTTTCAGGGCCATATTGTTAAGCCACAGTGAAAAAGAAATTCCTTTGATATTTTTAATTAAATGTGTACTTTTTATAGAAATGTAAATATACATAGAAATTAAAAAAGCTGTTTAAAAACTTGAAAATAAAAAGCCACGTTTAAAAGAGGATTGACTATTATAAAAGGGATCCAGTCAATATTGGTTTATCTAAATGTTCCATTTAGGTGGGAATATAATCGCTAAACATTTGTTCTGTTTCACTATTTTAAATATTTATTTTATGAGCACGAAAGTATGAATAATCCAGCTTCGCCCAAATTATGTCGGCTGATTTCTAAATTTTCTAGGATTCCCTTTGGGAACCTTTGCCTGCCATGTGTGCTTTGTCTTTTCGGCTTAACCTTTCTTCTTATCCTCCATTCGACCTCCCTGCTAATTGGCCTCTGAAAACAGTCAAGACAATGACGTCCAAGCATTCCGACAACCACAGCTGTTTGACCTTTTGGCCTTTGCGGAAAAGGCAAAGACAATGACTTCGATAAAAGTTATAGTCGCCCATAAATTAGAATGCAAATTAAAACACGAAAGAGAAATACTAAGGAAAGCGAATGTACTAGGTTGGAGATTAGGGAGCCAAGCAAATAATTATCACTTTGCAGTGTCATTTTTTTATCGTCTTAATTACGGCCAATATTTGAGCAATAAAAAATTTCGTTGACTGAGCCAAGAAAAAAACATCCAAGGAAAAGTTACCACGCAACGTCATCATTCTTAGCCAAGCAAAAAAGTTTTAATTAAAAAAATTGTTAGCTTTGGTGTAGAAAAAAATAAGAAAATTGTGCAAAACTACGTGAAAATGGTGCCACTTTTTGCTGGACACGCGACAAATTAGACGGGACACGTCTGTCAGATGGATTTTCTCTTTCTCTTTTTTACGCCAAGTAATCCCTGGCATCAACTTTAGTTCCACCGTTTTCCCTTCCAGGCCCTTCGTAAATCTAAAATCAGCTTAAATTTAATTTTTGCGCTTTCCTTTTTGGGATTGAAGAAAGGGAAATACGGGTGGATAAAGCAGGATACCGGAAGTGAAGCCAGGAGCTGTTTCCTTTGGTCCTCATCGCTTAGAATTGCCAAGGGCTATGAAAACTTTGCTTGGCAAACTCTTCGCTTTGCTCTTCTCGAAATTTTGTTGCGACAGTTTGGGCTTTGGAATGGGAGACAGGGTGCTCAATTAGAAGACTCTAAGGAAAACTAAACTTAAATGGGAGATTAACGAAAATATTTCTTATATATTTATTCAAAATAATGATAGGCTTAAATTTATTTAAGCTTTTCAATAACGTCAGGTTATAAACCACAAATTGGATTTCTTGAAATTTATTTAAATGTATTTAACATTTTTATTATTATACTCAGACTCTTAAATTATATATTCCTCAATTAATTAATATAAAATAAAATTTATTTTTAAGGCCTGGCCTATGTAGTTCTATCCGGCAATGTTTTTTTCTCACGATTAAGTCTTAACATTTTCTGTTTTATTCAACTATGTATTTATTTCATATTTTTTCCTAGGATAGGCTTCTAGTTTATTAGCTTGTGACCCCAAACTAATCCAAAGTTGCCACTAAAATATTTGTTTTGTATCTGGGGAATGAATAATAAAACCAGTGAAAAGAGCAAAAAGGTAAAAGGACGAAAGGGAAAATTATTTCTTGTCGATTATTCAAAGTTTGCGATAAGCCAATAAAAGGAAAAGCAAACTTTGTGTCCTTATAAATTATGAGTGGCGGGACCTTAAGAAAACATTAGGCAAATACTGATATGTATCAACGACTACAGTTTGAAATTAGAGGAGTATCCATGCAGTTAACAAATTGCTTAGCTAAACGATTTGCTTACAAGTGCGCAACTAATTAAGAATATGGAAGGACACAAGAGCTCGTGTGCAAGGACACTCCCACACACACGTGCCACAAGTGGCAGTGAAAGAAGAAGCAGGGGCAGGATTAATGAGCTGCCACTTGGAGCACTTTCAACGCCAAAAAGGAACGCCAGACAAATGTGGCAACAACTTAATTTAAACAAAGAGGAATTAGGGAAATGAATTCGGGTTGTGTTGAAATAATTAACAAACTGTCGACGGTTCGGGGTTATCTATAAAGAAACAGCTGTGTTCAAAGGAAACGCATTTAAATTTACAAACAATAAAAAATTGTCAAACGCCTGCCCAACGCCTACGTTTTTTTGTGAAGGACCCTTTGGATATCCTTATCTCGGGATCGTCGCAAATGTTGCGTAACTAAGTGCGGGACCTTGAGGGCACACTTTCACCCCTCACTTAGCTTATCTTTCTTTCTACCTGCCCTCACGGTGAGATTTCTAATTGTTGCATTCGAAGGATCACCAGGAAGGATCCTCCATTCGGGACTCTATCTTATCCCTAATTGAGTTGTCGGCACTGGAAAGTAAAGAGCATATTTTGGAACACACTTTTTGACACTTTAGCTGAGCATTTGAATGAGATCCTGGGACATGTGGTGTCCTACCAATTGAAGCGTGCCAGGAAGCGAAGGAAATTGAGTTGTGACTCGATGAAAATTTAATTGCGGGGGAGTGTGATAAAGGTAAAAAATGGGGAAGATATTAAGGAAGTCGTTCCAAGAACTCTTAAGTTCTTCAAAAGGTACAATTTAAACGCAGAAAATTTACAACTTCAATAAACAAGTGATAGTTTTCAAAATGTAAATGTTTTTTAGGCGGATAAAAAACCACTTGAAGGGAAGTTGTGTATTTAAAGGTATTTGTTTTTGAATACCTGATATAGAATTTATTTATTTTTCTTTTCTCTCCCATATGTTTTTAACCTTTCGTCAAATTTAACCTTTGAAACACACATGCATGTCCAGATTGTTCAATGCGAAGTATTCCCACCGAATCGATCGATTAACTTAAGGAAAAGCCATGACCTTTTAAACTTTTCAAACGCTCCTGCTGTCAGATTCACACTCATAGCTTGTAAATTTCAAAACTCATTCAAAATCAATAGACAAAAGTAGGGAAAAAACTGAATGACTGAACACGAATGCCTTGACCATGAGGAGGGGGAATGAAATGCGAGTACCCAAGGGGGCATCAATTATTTGCGCACAATTTGCACACGAAATGACGGCAATTAGCAGTGAGACACCTGCCAAATGGGAGCCCACTTGAATGGGGTGGAATGTAGTTCGTCATGAGTTCCGTTTTTTATAGGAAACGAAAAAGGGGGACAACTAGAGCAAAGCCAAATAGTTGACCCCGTTCATAAAATAACTGGGACTGAATGAGGAAGTCAAGTTTCCTGGCCATTGTCACGTGCTGAACTCGTTTTTGAAGGGGGTTAAATGGGGACAAAATAAGGGATCTAGGGACTAAAATGGGATATAGAACTTAAAGCTCAAAGACATTTGTGGACACAAGTAAAAAACCTTTTCCACATAAATTCATTATTTATTTAACGTCTCCTCTTAAACTAAAATAATGTTTGGAATTCATAATCATCATGTCACTGCAAATGATTCACTTACTTCAATAAAAAGAATATCAAATGAATCAGAGAAGTAACTTTGTTGTCTGATAAGAGTCAAATGTTACTAATAAAATAAAACAAATTCAGGCCCTTTACAAAAGTTTCATCTTATTAATACTTCATCGAGAAAATTTGGCCACCTAACACTCCCCGAATTCCTCATTCAAACAACTTGTTTACCAGACAAAGTTAGGAGGACGAACTGAATGTTCTGCCAAAGGAAAACAATTCAATTTCCCGTGGAAAAACCAGAGCACATAACTGTGAATGTCTTCGAGGAATGGAATGCGTGGGTGGGCGTCGGGGTGACCCAAATCCGCAGCAAACGGAAATGGAGAATATCAAATAAAAATGCAAAAATAAAACTAGAAGCAGCCATAAAAGTCCAACTTGTACACTGAAAGTATAACGTCAAGTAATGTAAGGATATCCTACAAATATTAAATTAAATAAAATAGGTAATTATGATTAAAAGAAGAATCTGTAACTTTTTTATTGCAGTTCCAGTTTCCAGTTTAATTCTTTATATATTTTCTAAAAAAAAATTATTTGTTTGAGAATCAATGTTAAAGTCATAGTTATTCAATTAAAAACACTTCCTAACACGTTTAAAATTTTTTTTCGATTTCTGTCTTATTTTTGAACCCACAATAATTTTTCTCTATGAATCAGCATCTTCAAGTGCTTCGAATCAGTTGAGCAAATATAACCAACTGGTTGGGGGTCGGAAAATGAGGAAAATCGTGGAGGTTGTGGGGTTCATAGCGAACAGGAGGTTGGACCCTGCCCGACTGTCTGCCCGGGATTCATAAATAAAACAAAGTGGCGCCAACGCGCGACAAAATGACGCGTCGACATAGAATTTGTAGTGGGTGTTCCTCCTTGGGTTTTCCCCATTTTTCCCCCGACATTTCACTCCCCAATTGTTATTCATTGGCTTCACTTGCCAGGGAATCGCTCTCGCTTTTCTCCCTTTTTTCTGCTGACCCAACTCCACGGAATATCGATTTTCTGGCTGTAACATTTGTCTGGCTTTTAGTTTGCCGCTACAAAGAGCAACTAGTTGCGGGTTTTCCGCCACTCCCCCATTTCCTTTTTTTTTGAAGAGTACTGCAAGTGCAACAAAGAACCGTTGTGGGTGGAAATTTTGGCCCGGAAAACTGCGGAAAGCGTATTGATTGTTTCCTCGATAAGCGCATGTCGCGCAAAAGGAAACGAAAAATTCCATTCTGGTGGGGGAAATGCACGATGGTTGGGCACTTGATGTGGTTATAATTTTGGAAAAACTTTTGGCAAAACAACTCAATTTGTGAGGGGTTTTATGTGGCTTTCAAAAAGGAAAACGTATAAGTTTTTTGATACACAAGCGAATTTGTGGCAAAACTTTTTAAACTTTTTTATTAGCAGAAGAGTATTTTTATTTTAAGAGAGTAAAAGCTTGATAAAAAAAATAAATTAAATTTTCTCCATTTCTTAAAATTTCATAAAAAAATTGTTTAAATAAATAGCTGAAACTTATTTATCATTTATAAAAGAAATAATATA